CCGGGGGGGGGGGGGAACGGGGCCAGAGACCGAAGCCTAACACTCACCCCTGTCTAGGTGTGCGATCTGGAATGTGCAGTTTGCCCCAAAACCTGCTATACTCGTATATCTTAATACAGAGATGAATTTACCTTCAGATTTTTCCACTTGCAGAGCAGTTTTTCAGTAGCCGCATTCTCCCAAGGGATTTTTGTATATTCATTAATCACTTCTGTGTCAAAATATAAATTGTATTAGCGTTCACAGCGTTAAATATTTCGGCGGTCGCTACTAATTAAACTTCTCGTAGTCCTGAGGGAACTCACCTCTAAGAAAAACTGTAATGAACTAGAAAGAAATTCTGTTTTGAAGAACGGAGACCCAAAAGGAAAAGGGCCTCACCAGGTGTTCATTTCATTCGTGCAACATGTCCATAACTCATTTCACCTCCCCCCTCACTTAAAAACATGCCTACACATTTCTTCCGAAACCCCAATAATACTAGAACCTGCATGACTGATGGTTTAGGGGATAAGAATTCTGAAAATTATCCAGTGTTTCGACAAGTATTTCAGTTACCATTTTAAAGGTTAATGTTTGAGGGATTCTGAAGGCCTTGTGTAGATATGGCAGCGTGCAGTGAGTGTGTGTAGCGAGGGTGTGACTGGCCAAAACCGTGGAGCGGGGGCTATTCAATACAGCGAGACCCCGTGGCTAAGGAAAGGTGACTGAAAGATTTTGGGATGTAAAGTGGTCATAAGAAAGAGAGATGAAGCAACATAAGAAGACCTTTACTACCAGTTCACCCGTTTCTTCGTGGCAGAGACCGATTCGAGCCTAGGCCGCCTCTATTTTAGAGACATCTAGATCATTATCAAATCTAGCAGCAGAACTCCGTGAGTTGAGACTGGAACCATTATAAGGCCCCTACCACAAATTCAGTATTTTCTTCTTTTTGCTACAGACTGACTTGAACCTTGAACTCCTCTGTTGTAGGGGCTACCCAGATCCTCATTACAAGTTTCCGAACATGCTGGACGCAGGATTACGCATCAAAAGGACTCTGTCACCAGTTGAGCAGTTTATTTTTTCACAACATCCCAATTCTACCTTTGACTTCCCCTGTGTTGCAGAGATTACCTAAATTTTTATTAAATCAAGCAGTAGAATTCCTAGACTTGAGCATCGAACGATCATAAGACCGCTGCCTTCAGTTCAACGTTTCTTCTTTGCGCTGGAGAACGACCCGACCCCTCGGCTTTCTCAGTATTTTAGAGGTTATCTAAAGCTATATTGCGTCAAGCGGTAGAACTCCATGGATTTAGGATCAGAACATCGCAAAACGTCCCTATAACCTACTCAGCAGTCCCAGCTTTGAACTAGAACCCGATCTGAACCATAACCTCCCTGTTGTACAGATTTTCTAAGCCTTCATTCAGACAAAGCCGTAGTGCTGCTTGAATATGGTATCAGACCATCACAGTAAAGCAAAGAAAAATGGAATCGACCGGTTTTGGAAAAGAGAATAAGTAACTTTGTACCCTGAATTATTCATCCTGTATCACCAGCATATCGATTGAGAACTGGGAGCACTGCGTATCATTCCTTTTTGAAATGCACTCCTGTTTCGACAAGTTTCCTGGTGACAACAGCTACGTGGGGTTTGCCCCTCTGGCCCCGCATGCATAACGCGGGTATTTTAACACTTTCTTTTTCCCTCATTTGTTGCAGCAAAAACAATTATTTGTCTGGTTCTTCGAAGAAAATCCTGCTACATAATAGCATAAATCGTGACGACGCTTAGAATAACTACATAAAAATAAATATGAGTTTGCGATCGTTTTGCGCAATCACGTTATTTTTAGCATAAAATTCTTTATGTTGTAAGTACTATCATAACATGAACAGAGACTTGCATTTCCTAGATGCTTATTTAGAATTTAGGCCGGGACACCGGCCATCCTGATGTTCTCCGTGGTTTTCCTCAGTCTCTCAATATTACCTCCATTAAGTCACGACCAGTTCCTGCCGAGTCATTCCCAATTGGGAATGACAGGAACCAGACATGTTAACTTTGATAAAGGATGACCAGAATGTGAGTGGAATGCAAGATAATGTTGAAGAAAGCAGTCTTCTGGGATTTGGCACCGTGTATATGTGGTGTTAACCGACGTTTCGGACGAACGTATCGCCTCCATCTTCAGGGTAGAAGAAAAAATGGAGGCGATACGTTCCTCCGAAACGTCGGTTAACACCACATATACACGGTGCCAAATCCCAGAAGACTGCTTTCTTCATAGTCACCGCCGTGAAAGCCTCAGATCTTACAAGATAATGTTGTCCACTGAAGAGTCATATTTTGTGGGATATAACGCAGTGTGGTCCGGTGAAAGTCAACGGAATACACACGTTATATCTCAGGAGATAAACTCTTCATAATCATCGCTGTGAGAACCTCAGATCCTAAATATTACCCAATCCTATGAAGTGGGAACAAGAAAATATTCAAGTAGGATGCAGAAAAGTAATCAACATACTGAAATAGAAATACACAACAATATTTGATAGAAATGGGGATATTTATGCGAATGCTTTCTTTCTAACCCACTGTTACGAAACGCGCTCATATCTCCGAGCTCCTGACAGGAATGCAAAAGTGTAACAAGAGTAGTGCGACCACGTGTCACTCACCTGCTGGTGTTGTCCGGGGCCTTCGCGCTGCCGTGAGCCCTGACCTGAAACAAACGAGGGAATTATGACGCATAGTCTGGCCAGCATTACTAACAGCTTAGAAAAAGGGGCCGAACATATTTTCCGAGTGGGACCCACGGCAAAGGAAACAGAAAGAGAGAAGGCGGAAAGAAAAATAAGTACAAAATCATTCCTGTCCATTATGTACACTAACAATGAATAGTACTGTTTACGACCATATGGCGGGGGTAAAATTGTTTACATCTTCGTGTATGTACCACACTATTTAAAGTCATATATACACTTCACTAGTAAACAGACTACACCATATTACTNAACTCACTCTAAAATTATATTTAAAATCAAAAAAAAAAAAAAAAAAAAAAAAAAAAAAAAAAAAAAAAAAAAAAAAAAAATTATAAATCTCACAACGAAACTTTCCCGGTATAGTGAATATTTAATGACATACAGGAAAATGATATTTTTATTCAATGTTATGTGATATCTGTACTGTAGTTTCACAGCAAAATATTGTTATTTCTAATAAATGAGAACACATATTAATAAGGAATACAGAATTACAAAACATATTTGAAAAACATATTGTGACATAAGGTTTCGCAGATATAATGAAGTAGCCAGAAAAATAGCCAATTTGTAGGCAACGGCTGTGTAAACACGCAACAGTACCATGGCTATCGCTAAGCAAGGTAAGCATGCAAGAGTGGAGGAAATGTTGGTAGCAGTGTTTCTATGCGTTCCCCACCGAAGCTACTTAAGGACATAGTTTTGCGTGGAGAATTAGTTCAGCTCAGGATCCAGCCGAAAATTGACAGCTGAAGTTGAAGGCTGACAGTTTGAAGTCAGCCCAGTCCGGGAACGAAATACCAGCTGTAGACAGAGTCAGAGTCAGAGACAGAGTCAGAGGCTGGCGTGAGATGGACGACATCCAGCAAAGACGTGAACCTGGATATAGAGGAACGTCTTCTGTTGGAATTCGTTACCAGGCAACTTGACCGAGGACATTGGTTTGTGTGTGATAATTATCTGTAAAATGTATTCACGATCTGTAAAATTGTATAATAAATCCAGTTAACAATCCAAANACTTGACCGAGGACATTGGTTTGTGTGTGATAATTATCTGTAAAATTGTGTAATAAATCCAGTTAACAATCCAAACCCCCGTCTATCGTCACTCGAACACGTAACGATATGAACTTCACTGGAGTGCACCTTTGTACGTCTTTTGATATTCGCTTTATATTTTTATCATCTGATACATCAAATTTTATATCATTTCCTTGTACTAAACGCAATTATGTTGAACTTCCATAGATCGTTTTACACAATTGGGAAGTTTGTTTTCTTGCAGATGGCAACGCTGAAATGGGTAACACTATGGCGTCGTCTGCGACGGATCACTGAGGGTTCGTAATCGAACGTTTTATTCTTCTGGTGGTTCTCCAGTTGCAGTGCAGAGAGAACATCGATGAGAATTTTACAGCAACAGGAAGTGTGCGTGATAAACTTGCAAAGGGACATAAACGTAGGGCAACTGTTCGTACGGAAGATGTTAGTGCAGAACGGGAGGGAATAACAGCAAGACCAAGAAAAGCGTGCGACGTTTAGCACAACAGATTGGGGGCTCCACCAGCACTCCATGGCGAGCCTGGACGTGATGACTTGTCCTCGTTTCTGTAAATGTGCAGCTGAGTCAGCCACAGTTGGAAGCTGGAACAGCGAGATGTTACACTTTTGCGAGATAATGCGGAGCGCTACTAGGGGACAATCCTGACGTTTCAGAAAAATCCGCGCACAATTAAGCAACTGAAAACTGCCACCAAATCAGACACTGAAGCCATTTCTGCAGAAAATATAACCAAGATTCTGAATAATTTTATTCTTCATTTACTTAAATTTGGTGATTTTCGGGAACATAGCAATGAAAATATTTTAGTTTAAGTCCGTAGATCGATCTGCGGCAGTTACACAGAACTGCGTTCAACAACACAGAATTTACACAACATTTTTAAATACCAGATGATAAACGGACATCCTGTACCTTGGTATATTTAAGTACGCTGCGAGCAGCTCAGACTAGGCTTACAGATCAGTAGAGTCGAATGGTAGGACGAGTAGTGAATAATGATATACAAGGTGTGGCAATAAAGAAANTAGGAGATATGTGGGGGGGGGCACGCGGTAACGTAGTTCGTTCAGGCACTATGCTAAAAGCCGGTAGGTTGCGGGTTCGAATCCAGATGAGGTCATTGGCTTTTTAATTGCCCCAATCCTTCCAACCGCACTATGGCACTGGGGTCGTCTCAGCCTGACAGAAATGAGTACCAGGGATCTTCCTGGGAGGTAAAGGGCGGCCAGTGCGTAAGGCTGACAACCTCACGACCACCTGTGAGCCGACTGTGTAGAAAATGTGGGAACCTCGACCTCTTAGAACCCTATGGGCCTCCACGGCCTGTTACAAGGATTATTATTGTTATTATTATTATTATTATTATTGGAGAGGGTGGGTTTCCCCATGCACCGCGACCAATGGTCTATTGTACGTCCCCCTGTGATATTTTACCAGTCTCTATACCCTACCGATACTGGTGCGTGCCATCAGTCCCGATTCAGCCAGCGAGTTCGGCCTCTACTGGCTCAGCGGTATCTAGATGTTTCCCCCATCTACTAGAGACGTTAGAGACTATTGTTGGGCGGGAAATGTCCTTTATAATTTGGCTCAGAGGCCTCCTTGAGGCATGAGGTTCTTTTACGTGCCGTAAAGCTACGACACGGGACCCACGGCTTAAAGTCCCTCCCTCCGCCGGGTTTGAACCCGCGTACCTTGAGTCATGAGGTGGGAACGTTACCCCTAGACTACGGAGGCCGCTTATTACAGGGATAGTTTAACCTTTTCATGGAAGGAAGCGATTGAAACTTAACTTTAAGTCCTGTCCCTCTTTTTTCTCGGAATAAGTAAGGAAAAACGGGAAGATACGGCCAGGGTAACGGTATACCGGCCGAGTTTCGACGTGAGCGCCTTCCGAATATAAATCAGAATGAAAGTTGAAAGAACCAACTTTCCCGTTTCTCTTTCCAGGAAACTGCACGGTAGCTTACATAGAGATTTTTTAGATAAACCTATTTTTGGTTTGTCCTTGCATTCACCATAAAATATGAATGATGTGAAGTGAGCAAGGGATCACCACGGGGGAGAAATGAAATGATCACGCCTATTTCATGCTAAAATTATTTCATTGTCACCGTTTTCTTTCCCACCGTTCTGTAGAAGCTGCCAAGCAAGAAACTTCTTTATTATGCAGATATTAGAACCGCATCTTTTTCCTGGAGTCACAAGTGATTGGTGCAGTTGCGTGATCTGGTCTGAGCAACAGATCTATGCCGATAAAGCAGATCTGATTTGAAATTAGGTAGTTAAGACGTGTTCTTAGAAGAAGTAATTCTTCTTATGTATTTTTGTTACCTTCTCAGAAATTCTCACTTCATGGCTTTATTTTGGTATATCCTTAATTTCTTTATGGACGGCTTAAACTGCAAAATTATATAGCGTCGAATTAGGTGATGATTTGTGGATAAACAATTTGAAACGATATGGAAGGTTCGGTTGGGTGAGGTAAATTGCTTCTGGCCCTCGCCAGCAGAATCATTCTTGGTTCCGAGTCCGGCGGGACTCATGGCCATATTTCACTGTCTCACGACTCTTGAAGTCGTGTAACTTCGTTCTTGATATGGAAGCGAGCAGCCTTGGCTTGATTTAAGATACCACTCCGACATTTGCCAGGATGGACTGAGGAAAGAGCGAACAACGGCCGTCAGGACAGACTGTCTTCGGACCGAGATCTGAATGGCATGCCTGCTGAATTCTAAGTGGGATTACTAACCAGTCAATGGTGAAGTCACTTATCAGAGTCTGTCAAGCCAATGTTGTAAGTCATAATTTTATATTCAATTGGATTTCGCAATACAGATACGGTTCTTATGAGAAAAGACGAACGAAAGGGACAGGAACTACAGGAGAGTAGAGAAAATTGGATCTAACCTGAACCAATATTAGGATAATTAGAATAAAAGGATGAGATGGTCGTGGTATGTAGCAAGAATGGTTGAAGTGAGAAATTAATAACAAAACTTACTTGAAAAACTTCAAGGAAAGAGGCCACCCGATATAACTAGGCATAAATGAGGGGATAATATTAAAATACAACTTTGATAAATTTACTGTGAGAGTGGTGGAAAACATGCAGCTAACTCTGAATATGGTCCAAGGGTGGGCTTCGATGAACATGGTAATAAATTTTCTGGTTCTATGGAAGCATCACTGTAACTGCCAACTTCCTCAAGGAAGCCTCTGTGCCATGAAGTTAATTAATAATATCAGTTAAAGCACATTTCTATATGGTGTGAATCCTTCACCCTCGTCCTCCCGAATGTACATCGGAATATTAATTTACCCCCAAAAGTGAAAACATTTGTACACACCCGTGAGAATAAATCCTTGTAGTTCAACATGGTGTATAAGTGAAGCTCATGAATTGTTAACAGTTGAGCAGCGGGTGCCGTCTCACTCCTTGGCGTCTTCACGGATGTTTGAAGTGTCAACTTACTCCACTGTGCGTGTTAAAGGAGGTGACCATTAATGGATCAGAGAGGATAATAAGTGCCCTGAACTTCAGCTTATAACTACGAGATGGTCTATTACAACGCATGCGCAGTCGCCAGTACTCGTCTTAAATGTTTCAGTTAAAGGTGTCTGTGATTACACATGACTTTATTTTGAAATACTATATGATGTTTGTAGGCAAAACTGTAGGCTTCGGAATTTGATTCAAGTGGACGATCGGACTAGGCCCCAACAGAAAATCCTGGTACCTATTCGGATATGAAGCCAGCTGGGACCCAGAACCGGACTGATAAAGTGGTGAGAAATGTGAACAAGTGACCCTGCGCAGAACCGAACTCGTTAAAGTGAGCCTACTCAGTTTACTGACTGAAATGTTCCTGTAGATTCTAAAGTGTTCTGA